CGTGGTAGCACAGAACAACTGGAAATCAAAATGGTAAAGCAATACCCTTTGTAACGGCATCAAAAATCAGGAAATATTTAGAATAAATCTGACAAGATACCAAAGACTGGTACATTGAAAACTACAAAACACTGATGAAAGAAATGAAAGAAGACCTAAATAAACGGATCAAAAACTCAATATAAAGATGTCAATTCTCCAAAACTGATCTATAGATTCAATGCAATCCCAGTCAAAATCTCAGCAGGCTTTGTTTTGTAGAAATTAATGAGCGGATTCTAAAATTCATATGGCAGGTAATGAAAAGAACCTAAATAGCCAAATCAACTTTGTAAAAGAAAAAAGATGGAGAGCTTATACTATGTGACTTCAACACTTCTTATAAATCCACAGTTATCAAGATAGGATATTACTGGTATCTAGAGAAGAATGTAACAATAGAAATCCAGAAATAAAACTCACATATATTTAGACAATTGATTTCTTTTAAGATTTTATGTATTTGAGAGAGAACATGAGAGAGGGGTCAGAGAGAGAAGCAGACTCCCTGCTGAGAAGGGAGTCCGACGCGGAACTTGAACCTGGGATTCCAGGATCATGACCTGAGCCGAAGGCAGTTGCTTAGCCAACCGAACCACCCAGGCACTCTAGACAATTGATTTCTAACAAAGGTGCAAAATGCAATTCAGTAGAGAAAGGATAGTCTTCCCAACAAATGGTCCTGAGTAGTTCTTTTTTTAAAGTTAATTAATTGGTTTTAAGATTTTTATTTATTTGACAGAGAGAGACACAGTGAGAGAAGGAACACAAGCAGGGGGAGCGGGAGAGGGAGAAGCAGGCTTCCCGCGGAGCAAAGAGCCTGATGCAGGGCTCAATCCCAGGACCCTGGGATCATGACCTGAGTCGAAGGCAGATGCTTAACGACTGAGCCACCCAGGCGCCCCGGTCCTGAGCAGTTCTATATGCTTCTGCACCCCTTCCAAAGAGAGGGAACTTAAATCCATACATTGCACTTCAGTGTATACAACAATTAAGTCAAAATGGATAATAAACATAACATGTAGTATCTAAAACTATGAAACTTCTAAAATACATTGGAGGAAATCTTACACACCAAAAGACATAATACATTAAAGAAAAAAATTGATAAAATTATACTTCATGAAAATAAGAAATTCTGCACTTTGAAAGATACCACTAAGAGAATGAAAAACCCAGCAACAGGCTGGGAGGAAATATTTACCAATCAATTATTCCATAAAGGACTTAAATCTAGAACATATGAAGAATTTTTGAAATTTAATAAAATAAAATCCAATAAAAACTTGGAAAATAATTTGAACATTTTATCTAAAAAGATGTGTGGCAAATAAGAAAATGAAATGGTTTTTATGAGTTCGTAAGAAAATATAAATTAACGCCATGAAATACTATTATATACCTATTATAATGGCTAAAATTAAAACAAAACAAAACAAAACCACAATGAGATACTACTTACACCCACTGGGATGACTAGAATCAAAAAGAAAGACCCAAGTATTGGCAAAGATGTAGAGGAAGTGGATCTCTCATTCACTGCTAATGGAAATATATACAATGCCTTTATAGTACAGTTTGGTAGTTTTATTTTTTTTTAAAGATTTTTAAAATTTATTGAGAGAGAGAGAACAAAGGCAGGGGGAAAGGCAGAGGGAGAGGGAGAAGCAGACTGCCCTACAATCTGGGAGCCCGACACGGGGCTTGATCCCAGAACCTGGAGATCACGACCTGAGTCGAAGGCACACTCTCAACCATCTGAGCCATCCAGGCACCCCCAGTTTGGTAGTTTTAAAAAATTAAGTACATACCTACCATATGACCCAGCCATTCCACTCTAATAGAGAAATGAAAGCACATGTCCATACAAAGGTTTGTGAAGAAACATTTCATAATAGCTTTATTTGCAATAGTCCCAAACTGGAAGCAACTCAAATGTCCACCAATAGGTGAATGAATAAAAACATTATGGAATACTCATACAGTGGAATACTATTTAGTAATAGAGAAGGATGATTATGGATACACAATACAAAGAAATCTCAAATCATGCTGAGTAAAAGCCAGAAAAAAATGAGTACATCTTATGGGATTCCATTTGCATAGAAGTATAGACTACGCAAAATAATCTATAGTGACAGCAAGCAGGTAAATTGTTGTCTAGAGATAGAGATGGGTACAGGGGACCTAGGAGGACTTGGAGGGATTACCAAGGGGCCTAAATAAAAACACTTTTTGGGGTGATAGATAAGCTCATTTTGATTACTGTGATGGATTCATCATGTGTATATATGTAAAAAATTATCAAATTGTGCACTTAAAATATTGTTAAAAATTAACAATAATTCATTAATAAGGAGAGAAGATATGAGAAATAACAGCATGTTTGTATGTTAATGGGAATGATTCATTTAAGGGGAAAAACTGAAAATTCAAGGGATGGGTATCTCTGGAAACTTGTCTTTTAGAAGGCATATATTGTGCAGAGGACTTTGGCTAGGAATATAGACACATAGACATTTATATTCTCAACAATTTCCTTAAAACATAGTCCTAGAAATTAACTATCAAAGTGTAGAAACATTCAGCCCATCTTATATACAATTAGATAAAAGAAATATGAGCACATCCGTGGCTTTAAACTTACTGGAGTTCTATGTACCTACCTCAGGTCTTGCTCATGCTGAAGTTATGTACCACTGTGATTGTGCTTGGCACAGGGATTGGCAAACAGGGAAAGATTTTTGGCTTCAGAGGTAGGATCTTCATAGAAGTCTTCCTTCTGCTTGAGTGCAGAATAGCAGCAGCTAGGGTAACTTGGTCGTTCCTCCACTGAGCAGCAGAGTGTATTTGGTCAGCCCCTTGAACCTGCTCTAGTCTGTGACAATTTTGACAAATAAACGTGATGCTGTGTAGTTTCCGAGGCTAGGTCCTAAGAAGCTTTGAAGTTTTCACCTGGGTCTCTAAGAACTTGCTCTGAGGAAGCTAGCTGTGTGTGGTAGGTTCATCTAGCCTGAGACTCCATAGCCTGAGTCATGTCAGGATGTTGTGTGCAGAGTTGCCTGGTCAGCCCTCAGGTCTTCCATCTGCCTATCAGTCTAGGTATCAGACGTGCAAGAGAAAGCCTTCAGATGACTCTAGTCCCAGCCACCATCTAACTGTGACTGAATGAGGGGTCCCTACTGAGAGAAGCCCAGTGTCTTCAGATGCAAGAGAGATATTATACTGTTTAAAGCCATTAAGGTTTGGAGTAGTTTGTGATGCAGCCATAACCTGAATAGTACATAAATGTATTTTAGGCAAACTGGTACGCTTTCACCTGAGTGACAGTTCTATTTGGGAACTTTTCTGTGTTGTGCTTCATTTGACCAAATCTTTAAAGGCAAAAACATTTTTTTGGTTTATTTTTTGTGATTCAACCTACCCTTCTCCTTTGCTTCAATATTAAATACCCAGGAGGGACACTCAATAAATGCTAAATTAATATGGTATCTCCATGGTAATGAGTGAAGAAAACTTATATTTATCTGACAGTAAAATGGGCACTATTTTGACTACAGAGCTAGTTTTTTCTTTTTTATGGTGCTAACTTCACTTTGAAATTACTTAGCTGATTATTTTAATGTAATCAATTTCCACACTGCTATTGCCACTTTACCTGATACGGAAGATGTCATATTTCAATAATGTTTAGGGTGGAGATGGGGAAAAGGGTAAATTTTAAGGGTGTACAAGGCAGGAAAAGGGGCTCTAATCACCTAAATAGGATGCTCCAACAATAATGCTTTACATTTTAAAGAATGCAATTACCTTGCCATTGGTTCTTGCTGTACTGTCTGCAGTAAGACTGACAGTGTTCACATGATAACTCTAAGAAGGGAGAAGCCAGGTTTAGCTTTTATCGCTTAAGAACTTTGGACCATCAGCTTATAACTATTGAGTACCAGCCTGAATCAAAACAGTCTATGATAGGTACTGGAAAAAAAACCTCAAGGAATATTCCTGATTTAATAATAAATCAGTGGCATAATCTTTAAATTGATAGGACAATATGGCAAGTGCCAAAGGCAAGTGGATGAATAATATTAGACAATTATTAAATATGTGTTGGTCATGGTTCAAGGGCAGGAAAAAAAAAATCTACCCTCAGGGGCGCCTGGGTGGCTCAGTCGTTAAGCGTCTGCCTTCGGCTCCGTTCATGATCCCAGGGTCCTGGGATGGAGCCCCGCATCGGACTCCCTGCTCCGCGGGGAGCCTGCTTATCCCTCTCCCACTCCCCCGGTGTGTTCCCTCTCTCGCTGTGTCTCTGTCAAATAAATAAATAAAATCTTTTAAAAAAAAAATCTACACTGAATTTTTATACAAGTCTTTATTTACAACTTGTTTAACAACTGTACACTTTTTGCAGCCTTGAAAACATTTTTGTACTTGAATGGGAAAATATAGTTTGACCAAATCTTAACTTTATTCTTCATATACATATACATATATTATATGCATACATATAAACATATACATATAATTAATACCATAACAAGTTGGCAGTCATAAAATTAAAACGAATAAGTGATATCAAAAGGAAATACAATATAAGATTTCAAAAAAATTAAAAATCTGTCTTCTAGTGGTTTATTGGACTTTATGTTGTGATTTTAATGAAAATTTCTTACTGAGGCTAACGAGTCAGTCACCTCAGAAAAACAGTGAGAAAACCCACCGATCTAATATACAGTAAATGGTTGGTAAACTTGGTAAACACATGGAAAACTCCTTGGATGCCATTATGTACAATGTTGCTATATCTGTATTGATTCCATTTGTGAACTGAGAAATTTAGAGTCCTATGTGGATTTATTTCATTTTTGGATTATAGTGACAAAGAATGAAGTTGTCAAATTATAAATTCAATAGTCAACCAGAAATAAGAATATACCTAGTAATACCCTTTTTGCAAAAGCTAAACTGCAAGATGGATAACTATGATGCCAAATAGGAAACTAACAACAATTCATAGAAAAATCAATAATACTTAAGACATGAGTATAAGGCTTTAGAGCTGGGACTGTAATCAATACAACTCCAACTCCAATGTACTAAGGTGTTTTCCAGCTCATCTGAAAAGTTTAAAAAATACTATAGGAAAAAAAAGCCTTTTTCTAACCTCAAATCTTTGATAGAATTTATTACTCAAAATAAGGCAAATTATTAAATTATTAGATATGTTTGAATTTTACCACTCATTACACAACCAAAAATTGGGTGTTATAAATGGTGGGGCAATTGTCAAAACATGAAAACTGCAAAACAAGATAAACCTAGAAATTATTCTTCTAAGTGCAAAGCATTCTGAATTACACATAACCTGTACACAGCAAAGTTAGTGACAGCAATGACATTTTAGTACAACTAAATTTTAAATAACTAAGGCTATTAAAAAATGAAAGGCTCAAGGCCTCAAATCATTGATTGGCATTTGTGTACAGTCATTTTCTGTATTTATACTAAAATACTATTTACTTCAAGCATAATGAAAATTTCCCTTAACATGAGTCTATGTAGTACACACACTAAATTAGGCCAACAATTAAAAAAAAAAAAAACCACCTCAAATCACACCATTTATCCATCTGTACTTGAGCAATAAGAATTTCATAATTTGCTTGGAATTTGACACTACTGGATTGAGTCTGTTGCCTGATTTAAAATATTTAAAAAGGAAGAGGCAAGCATCAAGACTTTCTAACAGGATAGTTCTAACTAAGCACCAAGCTGACTCAAAACAATTATGATTAGTCCCTTATTTTCATTAAAAAATTCAAAGATGCATCCATATACATCCTTTTCGTTATGTTAAGAAGTAAAATGATACTAAAAATGTTTAAGTCACTAGAATAAAATGCTTGCTTTATACATGAAATTGAACTTGATTCATAATCTAAGTTATTAAGAGCAAGAAACACTATGAGGAAAACCAAAAAGATAATTTGGATCATGATGTGCCTTTAGGGAGTAGATAATCAAATGTGATGTTAGGGAGAAATGTTTAAAGGGACATAAACAAACTTTTGCCGCCACTTTCATTAGATCCACATATATTTTTAAAAATAATGGAAGATAAGGATAAATGTTTAACAATATTTATTTGTAAATAAATTAAGAATTCACTGGTTTCTGCTCTATATGTATTAGAAACCATGTATCATCAATTTGAAAGACTACAAAAAAGGGGAGAAAAGCCTGAAGAGACTGTTATGATTTATGAAATGATTTAATTATATCACTTGAAAAGTAAAGTGCTGAAAACCTGTTTAAAAATATATTGAAAACTAGTTTCAAGGAATGGGGTTTTGATTTTTCCGAAGTCTTTAAAAAGGGCTGGTGTTAATTTTTATAAGAAAAACAGATTTTACTGCCATAGTTGAAGAAAGCTAAGAGTTATTATAAGTTAATTGAATACTTTTATTTTATCTTTCTATTTGGGCATTATAGCACTGTAAAAAAGCATTTTCTGCAATGATGGAAATGTTCTGTATTTATGCTGTCCAATAAGGTAACCACTATCCATGTGTGGCACTAAGCACTGGAAATGTGGCTAGGTGACTGAAGAACCAAAGTTTTAATTTTAATAATTATAATTTAAATCACCATGTGGCCAGTGGCTAACAAATTGGACAATGTAGGTCTAGAATCTACTCTTATCTAAATTAGCAAAAAGCCACTGACTAGATGATAAAGACATTTAGAAGGGAACTTAATCAATAATTAGTAGATATTCAAAACATTGTATTTTGTCTGTGTGTGTATGAGTGTATTTCATTTTTAACTTTTTACTTTAGGGGGACAAAAGCAAATCTTCCCTCAAAGGTCAGGGTCTAGACTTCTCTATTTCAGTGTTACTCTCTTCTAGGTGACTTAAGCAAAGAGCATCACCAGAACAGCAGAGCATCAGCAGAATGAAGAAGAAAACACTACAGAAACTTTTCACACTATATTTCTCTCATGTAAAAGCACAAAACAAAACTCTAAGAGACTGTTCTTATGAGTAAATCTCCCTATTCTTTGGCAGTAATCATGTGTCAGTGTTTACCTAACAATAAATATTTCAGTTACAAATGGAAGAGTCCTAACTCTTAAAGACACCTCTCAACAGAACAAGCTGAAAACTTTGCTGTATTTGAACTTAATAGCCAAGTTCATTAAGCACATGTTACAGCAGAACGAAGAATATTTCTGTAGCATTCTGCCATCTGTAGTGTCTGCCTTTTCCCATCAGCTAACCCCCACCATTTCGCAGATTCTCTGACTTCAGAGCTCCTGGAACTTGGCTTTCTTTCTCCTGTCCTTGGGTCTAGGCAATGATGAAGAAACTATGAAAGAAAGTGAAGGGCAATTGATAGGTTTGTATTTTAGGAGAGAGGCAAACCAAAGGTTAGAACATGTTCTAACTAGAAGATTGTTTACTTTTTATTAACGCAACTCCAGAAGACAAAAAGTTGCAAGTGTGTTGGCATTTGAGAGAACTTGGTTTCATGAGTATTGACTTATAAAAGTCTTATTAATGTGAAATATAAAATGTAATTGATGCCTAGTAGCCCCAATCCCGCTTCAAATAGATCTCTAGACTTAGGTTTTCAGACCCCACTTTAGACATTTCAGGAAGAGTACAGAGCCCATTTCTTTGGGTGATCTTTTACACTTTTCTTAGTGAGTGCTCCAAAAAAGGGAAAAAAAACCCCTAGTTTTTGTAAAACATACAAATCAAAAATGCCACAGAAAAGTAGAAGAAAAATAATTACCTAATATTAGTAAAGTGCTGTGAGTCTTGCAGTAAAGTATAAATAATACATAATGATTAGACATAACAGTAAATATTAAGACACTCACCTCTAATAGTGACATAAACACACTATAGAATGTATATACAGTAATCACTGCCCATAGGTTGCCAAGTACAACAAGAATAAACACGCATCCCTTTTATTAATTTTAGCAATATAATTGCTAAACTAATTATTTTCCTTTGTCAACTTCGAGATCTCTTAAGTGGTAACACCTGCTCAGAAGTCCCCCCCACATACATTAAAGCAACACATGCTTTGGTAGTTTCCCTTTTCTCACTTTGAGATTACTTTTGTCATGATAGTTAATTCTTCCTTTAAGCTCTGAGTAGATATAATTCAGGATATTTGATAGCCCTATGGGCCTGGAAGTTTGAGGCTATGGATACTTTTTCTCATGACTTATCTTCAAGACTCTTAACGATCTAATTCTGAGCCTAGGGGTAATTTATCAGGTACATAAAAACTCTCTTGAATATATTTTTTTAAATCTCTACTCTTGCCTTCAATTTAAACAAAATTTTGTTGGGAGGCTATTATGTCTAATTAGGGAGAAACATAAAATTGAGCCTAAGGTATATAAACTAGATAAAGCAGCAGATCTAGAGAAGTCAGTAGGAATTTTCAGCCACCACAGATTTCTTCTCATCTTATCAAATCATAGTATCCTTAATGGCTTCAAGTCACTATCTTAGATTTAGAAATGGGTAACAGTTTCAGAATGAAAATAGATGCTTTTCCCTCCACTGATAAACGTATAGTGAATATTGTATGCCCAGTTAATGCCCACTGAAGGGAAGGACAGTTAGAAAATAAATTATATTTTTGTCTACTCTTCTTTATTTAATGATCATGTTAAGAAAGTCAGAAGATTTTATGTAAACTATCACTTTAGGAACACTTATTAAGACAGTGTTATTTTAAATTGTATTAGTACTTCCATCTGCTTGGTTATTTGTTTACAATGAGGCCATTTCTTGTCCCCATAATCCATTCTAATTTCTAGGAATGGATTTGCCTTAACAGCCTTCTGTTATTTTCTCAGATTTTAATGCTCATTTATAAATACAGCATACAAACCTATCTTATAGAATATTACTGGAAAACAGAAAAATAACGGAGAGACATCACATAATTGTTAGGAAACATGCATAGACCCCCTACAATTGTCAAAACTCATATACTTGCCATAATTAGGTTCAGGTCTCTTGTTTCTCAAATAAACTAATGTTCCTTTCTCTATCAATTTAAGTGCAATGTGAAGAATCCAAGTATAGTTCAAGATAACATTAAATAAACTTCGTTAAGTTTTTATATTCATAGATAACACATGTGAGTTGGATTGGATTGATAAAAGCCTATTTAACAACAACATAATCATACATTCATTCTTCCTAAGAACATAATCAATGATTTAAAAGAGATGGATGTCATCACATTTGTGCTGTCCTTCATTTTATAAAAAGGAAGCTAAATATTAATACTTCTGTGATTTTAGGGAATAGGGAAGGGCGGAAATTAGCTGTGTCAGTAGCAAATTATTTTGTTTCTTGGGTTTCTGAGAAATGAACAGTTTTTACTATAAAACTTTAGAATAAAATTATTGTGCTTAAACTGGACAATAAAACATTTTTCAAAATTTTCAATAAAAGGAACATACACCAATTATTATTTAAATATGCTTTATAGATAAAGTAAAAATTGGATGACAGATACATTGAGAATAGCCTTCCTCATATAAAAACTTCATGGTATAAAATATTAAAATCATTATAGTTACAAAGAATAAGCTCTGAAAGCCCTTTCTAAATGTAATGAAACTGGGTTGTACAACTACCAAAATAAGCTGCTGTTTCGACAGTTGGGACTATAGAAAAAGAGATTATCATTATTGATTGGAAATCCCCTTAACTTATAAAAAGGGAAAATAAAAAGCACACTAAAATAATTTTCAGACTCTGATACCCCATTTCTTTTGTTTAATACACTCCTTCATCTACTTCAGGGTTTCACACTGGCTTGACTTTGAAGAAGTATAATGCTACGTCAACTTGATGAGAATCCCTTCATAATACAAGGCTAAGAAGTCAAAGTTTCCTTCCATAGTTTAATGAAAAGAAAACAAAAAGCATTTTGTCTTAATGTTATTCTGTAGTTAGCAAAAAGCAAGACACCAAGCACTTTCCTCTCATTTTAGGATCACGGTTGTTCTTATCCACGGGGCTGTAAACTACCTAGGTTGACACTAGCTGTGGGTTGTGGATGCTTTTTCAGATAATCTCACATGTTCCAACTGGGGATAACTGTAACACTCCAAAGCCTGAGATCTAGACAATTGGAAATTAAGTGCAGAGAGTTAAGATAATTTTAAAAATTTAGATTTTTGTTTTAAGATACTTCTCATACTGGGAGAGACTTTGTCAAATTTTTAACATGGTGTTATCTTGAAAAGATGAATGCTTGTCTGAGAGCAAGAGACACTCAAAAATATTTATCATTAGCTAACAAAAATAAACAAAGCTGCTACTGAAAAGGAGATGTGAATAAAGTAGCTAATAAAATTACCTTTTCTTCAGCCTAACTCATCTTTCACTGAGCAGTCACTTATTGCACAGTGTGGATTTTCATGCCTGTGCAGGGACTAATGAGATAGAAAAGCCAATATTTCTGACTGGAGAACATCTAGCTTAATTTTGTACAACTGAACTTTTACTATAAACACAAAACAATAAAACTTCAACAAAATTATTGTATTAAAATCTAATCATCTCACATCCCACAAGCCAATTTTACCAGGCTAGGGCTATCAAACAAATAATTCAATCTTAATCAATTCTGGAACATGGGTCCTTTAATTTAGGGACTTCTTTTTCTTGGTTATTATCAAATAATTAGACAAATGATAAAAAGGTATGATTGAGTTTTTGAAGCTCTTTTAAGATATGTACAGTTGTATTATTTATTCTTTTTCTATGTGGTAAACTATGATATTTGTTGGATTTTTTTTTTTATTACAAACTTTGTAAATATACACCGCAGAACATAAATGTTATTCTTTCATATTCTTTAGTTATTTACTTTGTATTTTCTTACCCTGGTTAGAAGGAAAAGAGAAAATAAGCTTTTTGTTGATAAGAATTCAACACTGCGGGGATGGGTCACCCCAACCTAATGCAGTAACACTGTACTTACTCCATTGCTGAGGCCAGGGCTAGCTCCACTGTCCACGCGAACTGTGGCTTCATGAAGCTACTGTATACAAGGAGTTTGTAAAAATATAGCATTGTATAGCTCACATCTAAATAAAGCGCCCAATGGCTTTCAACTTCCAGAGAGACCATGCATGCATCATCACAAACCACCTGAGAAATTATTAATCACTCCTGGAGAAATAGCAATTTCTAAATCCTGTCCAAAGCTGGGCAAGGGAAACAGGGTTGTCACTGCTACAGCTAAGTTTTATTCCTGCATTTTGAAAAAGCATCAGAATGTTTAGAAATATAATTTCTTCTATGTAATGAAAGTAACATACTAAACTATAAAGGTACAGTAAAGGAGAGTGAAAGTTATGACTGTAAACACCAAAATAATAGCATGCAACAGATGCCATAGAAAAATAAGTCAAACTTGTTTCTAAAAGCCTGGCACCTTTTCCTCCCATTTAGAGAAATATATCTGAGTAGGTAGGTACGCAGGTAGACCAGGACTGGGGCAGTAAATAGAGAACTAAAATTAAAACTTCTCATCTCATAGGATATAGTCCATTTAATGAATAGCTCATAGACTCTTATTTTCATCTATATTATTCTGCAGGTAGTATAATTCCCAAATAATTTTAATGTTACCAAAGTTAGTGTTCATGTCCTGTTTTAAAACAGCCAAATGCTTATGCTATTTGTGAAATAAGGGGGCAGGGGTAGAACCATTTTAACTAGTTTTTAATCTTTTATCGTTAAAACTATTTTGATGAGGTCTGCTTAGCCTCCTGAAGCCCCACAATGCATTCTACTCATGTGGTTCTTTCTGTTATTAGAAATTCTTCCTGCTTTACAGTCTTATCAGGCAGAAGCATTCACACTGCGCTCAGACTTCTGTACTGAATGTAAAAAATTAGCACAATGCATGAAGTCATTTCTGTGTATGCTCTTAATACCTTTCTTCAAGTACAGTTTCTGAGGACAAATGAAAACACTACTAATTTTTAGGTCAATTTTCTTATTAAAAAAAAAGTAAGGATTTAAAGTCAAACACCTAAATATAGTTTCTGAAAATCCTTAATTAACGTAGCTTGATTTAGTGTTATTCATTTATATTTAATATACAGGACTAAATGAAACCTGAACTTCCAAATAGCAAGTACATGAAATAAAATCTTATTAGATGACCTATCTAAAACCAAAACCAACCAATCAACCTAATTTCAATAACTTTTTGCTTTAAAAAAAAATTGGCTATGATGCAAGAAAAAGGCTGGAGGGGAACTTAAATATAATTTGGGACCAAATTCTTAAGTCACTATGGAAAGTCAGGCAGAGGCATTTCATTTTCAAATGAATAATATTTCACATTTATATAGCACCTTTTATACAAAGTGCTTTACAATCATTATTACTTGACAGCCATTCATCAATGTAAATAAACATGGTTTACAATCTGTCAACAAATCTAAGAACTTTGAGGCAACCAAATACCCAAGAGAATCTATTCAGTAGCAAAGTCTTGGACTAGGACATAGAATTAAGAAAAAATGTTAAGAGACCTGTTGTAACATCACATACAAGAAGTTACTTATTGATCTTAATGACTGATACTAGGATGTCAGGTTTAGGAATTACTGAGAAACTGAAGGGTTTATATTGAAGAGTAAGTAAAATGAGATGCAAGTCAACAAGGAAATTGTCCCAAAGGTAAGGCTACCTATTACTTGTAAGTACATGAAAAATAAATCCTTTAGATGTGGAGGGCAATTGAAGCTATAAATGTCAGCCACATTGCTAGAATTTGATGTTCAGTTACTAGGATATTCCAAAACAAGAAAAAAATTAATGCACTGCCTGATTTTTTTTCTTCTGTAATTTCCCCCCAAATAACCTAACCAATGCATTTATCTTCTGTCAGCAAACAAGATAGCAAGAAATAATGAAATTTTATGTATGTTTTAAAAATAGTTTCCAAATCTTCGGACAAATTTAATTTCCTATAAAACAATGTGGAAAACTCATTTTTTCCCTCTAAATAAATCTATCAGGTGCCTTAGGTAACATCTGATTAGCACCTCTGCCAATGTATTTATGTCTTTGCAAAAAGTGCACTTGCCAACCATTTTATATAGTAAATATGCAAGTTATTTGAAGTGCATTTGGAAAACAACTGAAAACACAGAATAATACATCATAAAAAGATTAATTCCCTTTAAACAAAGACATTCTTATAAAGCATGGTAACACAGAGGCACAATAAAGAATATAAATTGTATATCAATTATTGGCAGAAAATCTAATTCATTACAAAGCCTACACCATTGGGGAAAGGACATTTTCATACAAAGAAAAGTACTACACTATTATACAACACTTTTAATTGGGCATTTAAAAATTTTTGGCACATTAAAAGGAACCGAAAGGACTACAAAATAAAGAACCAAGAAACTAAAATATAGATACAGGAGAGAAAAAGTCCTCAAATGAGAAAGAATATCAACATAAAAGAGACAAAAAATAAGCTGGCTGAATTTCCTGAAATGTTGTCATATGTAACAGAAGTATGCTTTGAATGCAGGTGTTTAATTCTGATGGCAAGACTTGTCTACCTTGCTGTGGCTGGTTGAACATGGCCTGGATAAGATCTTCTTGTGCTGGTTGCTTGTCTTTGCCTAGCCAGAAATGACTGCCCTGAACCTGTACTAGCAAGTCTATCTTCAGCCGCCTTTTTATGCAGGGTCATTCCCTATACAACATAGGAAAAAAAGTAATCAATGTGAAAAAAGTGAAACATACGCTCACAAAAGAAAATTTCGTCATGCAGAATTTGTCACATTGCATCATAAGGCACAATTAGGAATGTTAACTCTGCTCATTATAGATTAAAATCTTATAGAGACATTTTAGTTCCAACAATTAGGTACAAATCTTCTCTTAGAAAAATTAAGGCTTAATTTTCTGAATTTACAATAACCAAACACCAGATAATAGAGATGGAATTTTGGAATACAGTACCCATATTCAATCATACTTCCTTTTCAGATCAAATGTAAAAAGTGATTTCCCAAGAACAAAAAGTGCAATTGATTGGTAGCAACTGATTCACATGGGGTTGCGGAAATCACACAGCTTATTTTGAGTGGAAAACACAAATGCACATGTTGTTTCTTAAGGAGGAAAGCCAGGCTAGGTATAATACATACCACCAAGGTGTTTTTCTTCACTTGAGGCAGGCTTGTATTCTCAAGCAAATTAAGAAAAATTCCTGACAGTCCACAACAGAGGGCCCAACCAAGAGCAGGGGGTCTTTCTTGAAGACTGGAGTAGGATGGCCTACTAGCTTAGTAGGGAGAGGATATACAATTGCCGGGCCCAGAGCACCTTAAACAGGAGGGAGGAAACCTCTGGGAGTGCGCCTTTTAAACTGTTCGTCTGTGAGGAGATCAGGGAAAAAGTGGTCTGGGTACTTATTTAATAAGACAATAAAGAACCCTGACCAGGGAAATATTAAGAACAGAGAGCGACTATTTATTCTCACCAATAATTGGCTACAAGTAAGCTGATGGAAGTTTACACTGCAACAAGGAAGAAAGGAAGAAATAAGCAACTGAGAGCCAAAAGGAGAGCCTACCTAAGCCAAGCTATGTGAAGTCCTAGGGCTTTCCTACAATGAACTGGACAGACTGGCACAGAAGACAGAAGACTAAACATCAATTTTCCCATCACTCGTTAGCTTTTAGGGAAAACACTAGTCATGGCTTTGTGTCTTTAACAGAATTTTGGTCTATCATATATACCCAAATAAGTAACATTTCTCCATTTTTGCAATGAGAAAATCCAGAACATGTTTTTCACTCAATTTGAAATCAAAGCATTTAAGAATCTGAAGAAAATTGACAAATATCTATTGGTAATCCTTAAATTTATTAATGTGGCTACATATATTACCAATTCTATTTTATTTAAAATATACTATCTTTTTTTCACTTTCACATTCCAAGCAACTTATTCCAATTCTTCACACACCTTTCAGATGCCAGTAGCCATGACAGGGCCATTCTCTGAGATATTTAATGCCTTTTCCCAGTGCTCGTCGCCTCCCTTCCATTCAGTAGTCTGAGATGCAGAACTTTCTGAATGTATGTATGAAGCTGTTACTTGCTATCTTACTGGAACATAATTTGTGTGACTCTACTAGGAGTTATTCCTTTACTCCCTGAGAGCTGAAAAGTAGGGCTATTCTTTAATACCACATCACAGAATAAGTAAATTCAGTTCTATAACCACAATATGTGAAGTCATACAAATCAAATTGAAACTATGAAATGACCAATAAGGATTGAGGGGCAGAGTTCCAAGATCACTAACACTAAGAGGACAAAGAGGAAACAGAATAGATGGAGTCAGAACTAGTTCTCAGAGAACTTCCTTAGATAGTTTTCCCTTATTTTTTAGAATTGTGATAAAATTTGAAATATGTTGTTTTAACCAAGGCAAGAATAAATGTGGACATGTCATGAAATTATATGAACTTCTGACAAAGATCAAATCCCATTATTAGGAAACCTGGGACATTACCCTTTAAGACACAGTATCAGTAAAGCAGAAATAACCACAACATAACTATAGGGTCGGGGGCGGTGGGCGGAGATGATGAAAAAAAAATCTGGTTCAATTTCTTGTCCTAGGCAACTAACATTTTGACAAGGCAGAGGGGGTCTTACTGGGAAGAAAAAACAATGAATAAAAAAAGACAAGTCTAGGACAAAAATATTGAAAAAAGTACAGCACTCTTCAAAATTCACAGCTATTCACTTCCAGAAAATCTTACTGAAGCCCAGAATGTTGACAAGCATTTATTTTCCTCTATAATATTTTTAACGTTTTTTTCCGTGTGTGTTGGAAAATTCAATTTCAAAACCTCCAGTTGTTCAGGGTTTATCACCATGAACATTTTCCAAACTGGGTGAGATAAAACATCCTCATTTTAAGTACCACTCCTGCAAAGACAATGGAACAGTCCCACAAAACAGACACTACTGCATCTGTGCTCGATATTATTCAAGTCCCCTTCTCCCAGAATAAAATGGTTCTCAGGGCCAGAAATTAAACTCTCATTTATCTTTCTATCCTCTAGGAATAACGATGTGTTGAAAACATCCTAACCCTGTTTATGGTGGTACTCATTTCTCCTTTTCAGTCCTAAGATCAGCATTAGGTTTGGTTAGTGTGTGTTAGGATAGCAATTACTTTCAGATTCATTTGGTAGAACTACTTATATAATACAGGTAGTATAATAAATATTACATATTCATTGAACTTTGCAATGTGTTTTAAAGTATTATTTTCTTACCATATTGTACCAGGCACTAACAATATATTTCTCCTCCATTTCTCTTTGACTTTTTGTTTTCTCATATTCTTTCTAAAAAAGAAGCACATGTAAACATGTAAAATGAAAAACAATTCATTATCAATAAAATACAATTAGTTATCTAAATTCATGGACACAGTTGTATACAGCAAGGCTCTTAGAAAATAAAGAATTAAAAACCAAATATTTCATTGTATAGTATAGTATAGTATAATATAGCAAACTACCTCTAAAGAATGGAATAGTCGGTCCCGTTCCTGGAGCTGATTTTTAAGAGCTTGTATTTCTGGTGCTGCTCCTTGATTCTGCTTAGGGTCTAAAGTACGGATAACCTGCAAAAATGAACAAAGAAAAAACATTTTTTTGAAGATTTTATTCATTTATTTGAAATATAGAGAGAGAATGAGTAGGGAAGCAGAGGAAGAGGGGAAAGCAGAGGGAGAGGGAGAAGCAGACTCCCTGCTGAGTGAGGAGCCTGATGAGGGGCTTGATCCCAGGACCCTGAGATCACGACCTGAACCAAAGACACGTTTAACTGACTGAGCCACCCAAGTGCCCCCAAAGAAAAAATTTTAAAGTTTCAAACTTAAAGAATATAACATCTAAGGAAGCAGTTAGTTAAAAGAAAATAATCAAGGATAAACCTTGTAAGAATCATAAAGCTATCTTACAAGGGTACTTTAAAATTTGAATGTGTGAAATAATATTCAATTGTTACAACTTTCAATTATATAAAACTTTTAGCTATGTAAAAGAATCAGTTATAAGTAGTACTTCTGTCTTAAAATTAATAAGTAATACTGTAGCAGACATTACTGACAGGTGTCTTCCCTTTCCCTTTCCTCTTTTTTTTTTTTTTTTTTTTTTTTAAGATTTTATTTATTTATTCATGAGAGACAGAGAGAGAGGCAGAGGGAGAAGCAGGCTCCCAAGGAGCAGGGAGCCCGATGCGGGACTCGATCCCAGGACCCTGGGATCATGACCTGAGCCGAAGGCAGACGCTTAACCATCTGAGCCACCCAGGCGCCCTCCCTTTCCTCTGATGTGGCCCAGCTACCCTCTGCCTCTGAGCAGCCCTATACTTGGGAGAGAGAGTCCTGATGGTTAAAAAGCCTATCATTGTGACCCCATCACCTCCTCTGCTTGGTTTAGGCATGGGCATGTGATGCAATTCTAGCTGGCCAACTAGCAGTCTCCTGGGAAAGCTCTTTTTGCTTTTCGGCTCAATACTTTTACTATCAAAACTGATCAAACCTAGAGAAACAATAAAAATCCATTTCCTTTAATCCCAATTCACCAACTGCTGTACTACCACATTTTCTCTACACACACACACACACACACACACACACACGTGCGCACGCTTTTTGGGAGGCTACTGTAAGGTAATCTGCAGACCTGGCAACATTAACCCCTAAGTACCTCATGCATCTTTTTAGACTAAGGACATTCTCTTACACAATCACAATACCAACATCATCTGTAAGAAAATGAACAATTCTGTAGGTCCTCACTATTCAGTCCAAATCCACATTTCCACAGGTGTCTCCAAAATGTCTTTGATAAATCACTGCTCCTTCCACCCCCAATTCAGGACCCAAAGATTAATGCATTACATTTGGTACTTCAGGCGCTTTTAAATTAGAAGAGCCTCTTGTGCTCCCCCATACTCCAATGCCTATTTTTGTTTTTCATAATATTGACTTTTATCCCCAATTCTGGATTTATTTGATGATGTGTTATTTAACTTGTTTCAATAATCTCATTTTCCCTGGGAACTGAGAGATCTAAAAGATTGCTTAGATTCAGGTTAAATATTATTGACAATGCTACTCTATCAGGGGGCACAAGATGTTGTTGGTTGTCTACCATCAGTGTAGCTAATTTTGATTATTACCCCAAGGAGGTGAATGCCACTTATTTTCTACATAAAGGACCATTTTCGTCTTCATAATTAGTAACTACTCTGTGGGTTAACCTATTTTGATCACTGCTTCTTCCTTGGCATTTCTTTTGTTCTTCCCCTAATAGCTCTCAGTGTGAGAACTCACTGTACACGCACTAAACTGGATGACCAGTGAAGCATGATCAGAAAGTGGAGAAGCCCGGAAACTCATACTTACACTTTTGGCTTTCTCTAAGTATTTTTTATATCGCTCCTCCATTTGCTTCATTTCCTCTTCTTTCTTCCGTAAAGCTTCTTGTAATTCTTCAATTTTTAAGGCTACAGGTGAGAGAGTGAAGAAAGAAAAAAAAAATTTTTTTTAGATTGTAACAATCTGAAAAGTATTTCAAATGACAAAATAAGTAGGAGCTTTGAGAGACTGGTCTATTCCTATAATTTTATTTTAAAAATTGATAATTTTTTGTTTTTATAAAAAGGTTTTCTTACAAATAAGCAAAAACTTCAGTTTGGAAATGCATAAATTAAAAAGTATCCATCAACGGATGAGTGCATAAACAAAATGTGGTCAATATGTATAATCGAATATTATTCAGCCTCAATTCTGATACACGTGACAACACGGAGACCATATAAATGAAAATGAAAGGCGTTCTACCAGGTGAAGTAGGCCAGACATGAAAGGACAAATGTATGAATCCACTTAGATGAGTTACTTAGAACACTTACTTAGAACAACAGTTCTCTGGGAAGGAAAGTAGAACAGTGGCTCCTAGGGGCTGGGAGGACAGGGGAGAATGGGGGGCTATTCTTTAATGGGCATAGAGTTTCAGTTTAGGATGATGAAAAAGTTCTGGAAATGGACAGTGCTTGTATAACAATGTGAATGTACTGTCCCTGAACTATATACTTAAAAAGTGGTTAAAATGATCATTTTTAAAAAGGACTTTTTTAACAGAGAGAGAAAGAAAGAGAGAGAGCACGGAACAGGGAGGGGGGAGCCCCGAGGGAGAGGAAAGGGACAAGCAGGCTCCCCACTGAGCATGGAGCCTGTTGCAGGCCTGATTCCAGGACCTCAAAATCATGACCAGAGCTGAAGTCAGATGCTCAACCAACTGAGCCACCCAGGTGCCCCTAAAATGGTCATTTTTATGTGATATATATTTCACCACAGTTAGAAAAGGTGTGTGTGGGGGGGAAGGTCTGTGTCCTGCTCCACACAAAAGCATTAATAAAATCAGGCTACCTACATGTATAAATATCAAAAGCAGTAAAAGTTTGGCTGACTTACATGCAAGTATACTATGAAAATAGCTAATTTCATAAAATATTCATTACCATCCACAGTTAAGGAAAACTCAAAACTATAATTAGAAATACTTTAAAGACGATTATATACTCCTTCTGTAAATCAGACAAATTCTTTAATTGCTAGAATATGTAATAGGACCTATTTCTGAAAGAAACAATTTTATATAAACTCATCACTAGGTGTCTGGGTGGCTCGGTTGGTTGAGCATCCAACTCTTGGTTTCGGCTCAGGTCATGATCTCAGGGTTTTGCGACTGAGCCCAGTGTGGCATCAGCTTGGGACTCTCTCTTCCTCTGCCTCACTCCCTTCATGTGTACTCTCTCTCAATAAATAAAATCTTAAAAAAACCCCCACAAAACTGTGGCAATTAGTAATATAACGTGTCAACTATACTTCAATTAAAAACAACTATGCTAATTAGGGAAAACTCACAGCTGTTATTAAATCGTGGTTCAAGATCTTCAATAATGGCTCTCTTCTTCTGCAATTCATTATTGGCTTCATGAAGCTTTTCTCTGCAACAAAATATTTAACACATTGTCAACTTTTTTTTTTTTTTCCACTTAACTTCTTTGTTCTTGGGATACACTTGCATAGCACAAAAGTGCTATGAAACAAAAAAGGATAAAAAGCCTAATCCAACATGAATTTAATATATATTTTTAAAATAGGTTAAAAAAGAGACAAAAATCTCAGACTTTGAAATAATTTTTTCTCTTACATAAACATGCACAAGAGGGTACAGAGAACTTAATGATCTTCAGTTTTTTCTAGGAATAGGATATTATAAAAATTAATTTAAAATTTTACAGAGGTTATACAATGCAAAAATATTATTGCAAAATAGTGCTAAAAATAGAACTAGAAAGAACATTATCCACCAATAAAAAAGAATTAATGACACATGCACCCACATGGATAGATATCACACAGAATAACACTGAACAAAGAAAGTCAAATACAAAAGGGTAATACTGTAGGATCCCTTTTACAGGAAGTTCAGAATGTGTCAAAACTAATGAAAGGTGATAAGAGAGCAGCATAGTGGCTAGTTTGGGGATGGAATCAATCAATTAGAAGGGAGAATGAAGAATCCTAATGAATTGCTGGAAGTATTCTATATGTTGATCTGGGATACTTATGTATGTAGAAAAACATTCATCAAACTTAGGGACTTAAAATTAGTGTACTTTATGTAAGTTATATTCCAATACAAAAGTAAAAAATGAACGGAAAGTTTCTTCCTGTTAGTTACAAAATGTGTAATTCTCTCTATATTTAGTTTGGCACTTTGTAATATGAGAGGAAAAAAGGCTGCATAATCTGGAAAATACAGAAAAAAAAACTGAGAAGAAAACAGAGCACTTTAAGACTATTTCGGGTCTTTCCTATGCATAATACTCTAATAAATCTATCTCTTTTTCAACAAATTTTTTGTGTGTGTGACATATCTAGATACAAAATGAGTATATACAGTAGTTAAAAGAATAAGAAAATTTAAGCCCAGTAAACAGGTCATGAAACAGAAATTATCCCAGAACCTTAGGGAACCCAAAACCCAGAATTTTAAGCTTTCTTATGACTTTTGTGATGAGCCTTTGTGTGTATTCCTAACCAATATATTGGTGAATTTTGCCAAATTTTTACTTTATATATCATACTATATGTATTGTTCTGTGACTTCCATCTTTTACTTAACACCATGCTCTTGAGATTCACTTATGCTGATGTGTAAGCCCTAAGTTACACATTTTACTGCAGTATAGTGTTCTGCTGTTTGAACATAACTCATTCTAGCTATTGTTTTACAAATTGGTGGTATCTGTATTGGTTCTACTTTTCTGTGACTGTAAACAAGATTCTTTCATACTTTCTTCTACATGTCTCCTGACACATGGATAATAGCATTTCTAGGAATCTAGGGTTAATGTAGGGAGTGGAATTGATGGGTCACAGAATATGTGCATGTTCAGTTTGTTAAGTAAATTGATGTATACTCAGTGCAGTATACATTGCTGAACATCTTTGGCAATAGAATTACCTCTGCTGAACATCTTTGGCAATCCTTAGTATGCCTGATTTTTAATTTTATCAATTTGGTGTATGTAAAATAGTCTTCCTTGTAGTTTTTTTTTTTTTTTTTAATTTTTTATTTATTTGCGAGAGAGAGAATGAGAGACAGAGAGCATGAGAGGGAGGAGGATCAGAGGGAGAAGCAGACTCCCTGTCGAGCAGGGAGCCCGATGCGGGACTCGATCCCGGGACTCCAGGATCATGACCTGAGCCGAAGGCAGTCGCCCAACCAACTGAGCCACCCAGACGCCCTTCCTTGTAGTTTTTAATTTGCATGAGAATGACCTCCTTTTGAAATGTCTATGGACCCTCTTGTGGATCGAATTATATCTCCCAAAAAAGATGGCGAAGTCCTAACCCCCAATACCTAGGAATGTGACATCATTTGAAAATAGCGTCTTTGCAGATATAATTAGTTAAGATGAGGTCGTGCTGGATCAGGGTGGGCCTTAAGTCCAAAGACTGGTATCCCTATAAGAAGGCCATGTGAAGACAAAACGTACAGAGGAGAATGCCACGTGAAGATGGGGAGACAGAGATTGGAGTGATGTGTCTATAAGCCAGGGAACACCAAGGATTGTTAGCAGTCAGCCTGAAGAGGGTAATGGAACAGATTCTCCCTTAGAACCTCCGGAAAGAACCCATCCTGCTGACTTCCTTGATTTTAGGCTTGTAGTCTCAAGAACCGGTAGAGGATAAATGTCTGCTTTTTTTTTTAGCCACCCAGTTTGTGGTAATTGTGGCAGCCACAGGAGACTAGAGACTAACAGGCCTCATCCTCACTAATAATTCTTTTTGATGAAGATATTTGCTATGTAAATGAACACACAATGGTCAGTTTTATGAAAGAACAGGTATTCCTTTTTTTTTTTTTGTAATATAGAGATGGGAAAGAAAAAAAGGACAGAATTCAGTACTGAATTCGGACTCTAGGTAACCTCACAATGGCTAGGAGGTAATATTTTCTCTTCTACTAGTGCATTAAGAATTTGCCCCTTGTTAGACTTGCCAGCAAGTGTCAGTTCCTAGGATTATCTCACTTTTCCCAGATTAAAAAAAAACAACTGGACAGCATGAGACAAACTGCCAAATTATAGAACTTTTTTTCCAATCATAGTGGAACATGTCAAAGTTATCTCTGTGATACTGAGGATGTCCAGTTTACCATAGTGGAACACTGTAACACTCCCAACAGGCTAGCAATTCATGGCCAACCTACACTCAATGTTTGTTAGGAGAGTGTTGCTAGAAAGTGATAGGAAGGATTAAAATTATTACTGGGTGTGAGAAAATCACAAAAACATTCCTAACGATGTCAACCTCAGCTAAAGATAAAGATGGGTGAAGATTTCTTCATGAGAAAACAAATGTAATATTTTAAGATTTATTTCATTTTTAGATTAAAAAGTCACTTTCAGATATATTTGCAGTTCAAGGAAATGTTTGAAAATCTGCTACTGATGAGCTCTATAGTACTTTAAAATAAAACTTTACTTAAAAAGGAAAATTCAGCTGGCTATACTCAAAAGCTGGCAAACTACAGTCCATGGGCCAAATTCAGCCTGCTGCCTGTTGTATAAAGTTTTATTGGAACAGTCACAACATTAATTTATAGTCTGTGGCTGCTTTCAAACTATAGAGCTAAGTGATTGTGACACAGACCATGGCTTGCAAGGCCTAAGGTTACTGATGTCTGGCCCTTTACAGAAAAAGGTTTCTGCCTCCTGACCTAGAGTGTCTCAAACTCCTAACTATAGTTATAAATACTACCACAAAGATATAAAACTCTGGAATCTTATGGAGAAAACAGTTCTAAAGCAGTACTTATTTTGACTTAAGGACACTGGGTGGAGATGACCCATTAGACGCTATTAATATGTCTTATAATTTCCCCTATCTTCAGGGGCCACCTGTGCCATTGCCTAGATACTCTGTAACCACCTAACAAAATACTTCTGTTTCACTGGAGGATAGGAGAATGATAATCAACAACTTTTATACTTACAGATGTTCTTCAAGCTTCTTTTTTAGAAGAACTGACTGGAAATGGAAAATAAAAGAAATTTATTTAACATTTTAACTAATAAATTATTTTTTAAAAATAAAAAGTAGAGTAGTAATCGACTCTGAATGAGTTCTAAGTTCTCTGATCAAAGAGCTCAAAACACACAATGTACCTAAGTCTATTTTCTCTTTGACTAGAGAGAGAGCAGCAAATGATGATAGCAATCAGTATAAAATACCTAGAAACTGCATATCTGAAGTCTCTATTTATAGTCAAGAACTGAATAGGGGCGCCTGGCTGGCTCAGTCAGTTAACCGTCTGCCTTAGGCTCAGGTCAGGACTAGGATCGAGCCCTGTGTTGGGCTCCCTGCTCAGTGGAGAGCCTGCTTCTCCCTCTCTCTCTGCTGCTGCTTCCCCTGCTTGTGCTCGGTCTCACTCTCTGTATCAAATAAATAAAATCTTAAAAAAAAAAAAAGAGGAAGAATTTAATAAAAAGGCCACTTATATATAGACCTAATATTCCTGGAACCAAAAGGCAGGTAGAATTCTAATAATAATAGATTCTTCCCTAACATACTTTTTATCTACTATATTATTTTCCTTGCATCATGATAGAGACTAGGATTAATTTCCATAAATATTACTCGGAGATTTCTGAATATGCACACAAATAATTTATGTGATTGTATGGGAATGTGAAAGATGCTGTGTGCACAGAATTTAATTTACTGAAGAATGCATCTTTGGCTGGGTATTTTTTTTTTTTTAAAGATTTTATTTATTTATTTGAGACAGAGAGAATGCGAGAGACAGAGAGCACATGAGAGGGGGGAGGGTCAGAGGGAGGAGCAGGGAGCCTGATGTGGGACTCGATCCCAGGACTCCAGGATCATGACCTGAGCCGAAGGCAGTCGCCCAACCAACTGAGCCACCCAGGCGCCCTGGCTGGGTATTTTTAAAAAAGTCTCCTGGGCGGGGGTGTTGCCTGGGTGGCTCAGTCACTTAAGCATCCGACTCTTGATTTCGGCTCAGGTCATGATCTCAGGGTCCCGGGATGGAGCCCTGTGTTGGGCTCCATGCTCAGTGGGGAGTCTGGGCACTTGGATGGCTCAGTCAGTTAAGCACCTGACTCTTGATTTCAGCTCAGGTCATGATCTCAGGATCAGGAGATCAAGGCCTGTGGTGGCTAGCGTTGGGCGTGGAGCCTGCTTAACATTCTTCTTCTCCCCCCAGGTCATGTGTGTGCTCTTTCTCTCTCACTCTCAAAACACATACACACACACAGTCTCCTAAAAAGCAGATTAGAATTGGCCTAAAAATAAAAAAAAAATAGTGGCAGTCTATAAAGGACCACTAGGTTTTGTAATTGAACTTAACACTTGTAGGGTACATATTATTAATGAATTCTATGAAACATTCCATTTTGAGATAAATTCAGCCAAACCCAATTAATATAGGCTTATAAAACAAATTGTCCAATCAGTCAAAAGCAGCAGTGAGGGGAGGAAAAACCTTTACACTGACTTCTTCGATTTTCAGTCACCGTATTTAAAAATGATTACTATAACTGTTTATTCAAGTCCATTTTAACACAGCTCTGGAATTTATCAAATTTACTTCTTTGCTCAATATGTAAACTATATCAATGGACTACAAGGTCCCCTATCAGTGCTTGCCCCAAATATAAAAGAAAGCAATAATTCTGTTAACTTTCAGTTATTGCTTTGTTCATTCTTTAGTACAGATGGTAAAATGAAAATACTTTCTAAATACCTTAACTGTAATTTTGCATTTACCTTTTGACTAGGCTCTAGCAAAATTAGTTTTAACTGAGATAATACACAATATTCATCTCATGAATGGTTAATACACTAGGCACTGCAGTCTCATGTTAATCTCACAACTATGAGCAATATTAGCCTCATCTTATAGTTGAGGAAGGTGAGACTGGGGAGACGTTCAGTAACTTTCAAGTAGCAGACCCAAAATTAAACCCCAGGTCTGAAACAAAACAAAAAACAAACCCAGGTCTGCCAGACTCCAAAGTTTATGCATGGTCTTTACTTCCATGCTTCCTATACTCCACCACCTCTCCACTGAAGACTGTTACTATTAAACTAGGTGGCAGGAGGAGGCCAGACTGCAATAGGAAGCTTCCAAATAATTTATAAAAATGTACTAATTATAACAAGGAGGCAGAGTAGGAGTGGGATGGGGGAGACAAATAAGAACAGAGGTCTTTTTGGTTTGACTTGTTAAGTTTTCAATATCCTTTAAATATCTTAAGTGTAAAGGGCATAAACCTGTAAGGCAAATAACACTCATTTGCATAAAATTCCCATAATTAAAAATTTCAGTACCATCAACTATGATGGAAGAGAATGTATATAAATAAAAAATTTGCTCAATATATAGAAATGAATAGGAAGCCATACTTACAATAGCCTTTTGAGCAGAAACCATGCCAAGAGACAGAGAGGACATATTAGTATGAAGCAAACACAGCAGCCAATAGAAGGAACGATTTAGTAATTCATGAACAGAAGTAAAAGTTATGCATTTTTTTTCAAAAATGTACATTTTTCTTTCTTCTATGGTCTCCTCATCCTGTCTTGTTCTCTTGAGTTTTATACACTGTGGCTAGCTCAAATTATCCATATGACTGGATATAACAATGCTTTTCTGCTTCCATGCTAAAAATAAATGACATAAAAATAATAATAAAAATGTGTAAACCATCCTACTCTGACTTCAGGTCATATGAAAGGACTGTGCTTTTGGTAACAGAAATGGGCAGAAATTATACTGTTCTTCAGAGAGGACCAGTTCCATTTGGCAGGTTGTTCTACGTACTACCTGGTATTCCTGAGATGCAACACCAGAGGTTTGTGAAAGAGAAGACGAAAACATCAAACATTTGCTGGATTTGAGGCATATCACAATGAGGAAAGTTCCTATCTGAATCTTTTCTATATATATATGAAAGAACTCTAAGGGAATATATAAGAATTTAGAGCAACACCTCTCTTTAGCATCTGGGCAGTCAAATAAACTAATTTAGGCAAATAGTACTTTCAGGGCTGGCACTCACTTCTGAAGTATGTTCTCTAAGTAACAGCACACAGCATATTTAATTAGATTTGATTACCACAGTGATACCTACATCAGGCTACGCAAAATTGTTTTTTACAGAATAAACTCCTTCTGTATGTTCTAATACCAGTAAGAGAATCAAGTACATGTGGTGGCTATCGCTATAACACTAAGGTAGGCTGATACTGATGTTCTACCATTCTTTTTCCCTATGTACCACATGCCCTTCCCTTTCTCCCATAACAAAGCAACAAAAAGTCTCCTCAAAGTTTTAGAGACCAAGTGATTTCACTGAAGAAATCACTTAAATTCATCTCTAAGATAGTCTTAGTTAGCCTTATTAATATTTTAATACAATAATGTTGGTTTTGCTTCACCTCTTTCTGGCTTAGCATTCTGGATTAAAAACATGTTTAAAAAGTAAACCATGACATTTCAAACTAGTTCTGCTTTAATAAGGGAATAAGGTAGTTTAGATGTTGGTGACAATTTTAGGAACTAGGAATCAATTTGGGATCTAAGAAGGACTACCCACACATTAATTAAAGGATAAACCAAAACCAGCGATCTTAGAAAGAGCATACTGCCAATAGTAGATTATGTTTATGAAACTCATAAAATGGGGTCAATAATGAGCTTTCTAGATCTAATATTTGCAGGTTTTAAGTAATATAACTGGTTTAACACCCTTTCATTGGTTCCTTTTGTTTTCATATGTTCTTACATTAATAAGACTGGACAGAAATGATATGTCTATAATTTTGACGATTCTCCAAAAAGACTATCAATGAAAGCAACTATGTAGAGGTTTATACCAAAAGGCCAGAGTTTATAGCAAATTACACTAACAATAATAAAAGAACAACCAACTGTCTGAAGCAAAGATTGGTCACTAAAATTAAGGTTCCCCCCCTTTACACTATTTTTGAATACTCTATAGTTGCAGTTGCACTGTATACTGCTTATTAAATGGAAAGGATTTGCAAAACTTATTTACACTTTCATCAGAGACTGACTACTACGTGCTACAAAAGCACTGTGATAATTTAGAAAGTGAGCATGAGAAGATGAAAGTCCATCCAGTTCTGGCTCAACACATTTACTATATACTAATGTGAGCATGCCAGTCAAGCAGGCAAGGCTATGACAGTTATGCAGAGTATAAGGGAATATTAAAAAAAAAAAGGTCCGTGAACTTATATTTGAGTGGGGCAGGGTAGGGGTAGCAAGAGGGATTCAGAAATTCAGAGACAGTTATTTCTAAGGATAGCATTATTTTTAAAAATATCAATTACACATAAAAAATTTCTACTTGAACATGCTAAATTTCTACCAGCATTTTTGTTGTTGTTGGCCAGAGTTTGGAAAAACCCTGAACTCTGAAAACTGAGATGAACACACTTATAACAAAGGCCTCAGGGAGCCTGGCTGGCTCAGTCAGAAGACCATGCAACTCTTGATCTCAGGGTCATGAGTTTGAGCCCCACAATGGGTGTAGAGGAACTTAAGTGAATAAATAAAAACTTAAAGAAAAAATCCTAGCTTCCCCATTTCCTAAAACAAAAACTCCACAATGCCTCAATTAATTCCTTAGCTAATAACTACAAATAAACTTCTATTCCCAGCAGAGTGATTCTAATCAGTACAATGAAGTACTGTCTGGTCCTTTTCATAAGGAATGTTAGTAAAAGGAAAATATTGCTTCTCTTCCATAACCAATATACATTATTCTGGTAGAGACAATCAAATAAAAAACAAAACTTACAGCTTTTCTTAACACTGTGAAACTATTGGTTGGTACATATCAAAACTTACATCTTCTGCTTTTGAGCCTTGATCCTGTAAAGATTTTTGCAATTCTTCAACTTGTGACTGCACTTCCAGAAGTCTCTGATTCACCAGCCTAGAAATCAAATGCGTATTAATTTTCCAAGTTCAGACTTATTTCTATCTTCTCCCTAGGTTGTCATATTGGTTAGAAAGACAGTATAATTAACAAAACAAACCCTCATGTTAAGATAGTAGTGCAGTGCACTGTTCTGGTTTTCGTTTTACTTGAAATAAAAAATGGTACTTTAGTGGACATATTTTGTTGCACAAGTGTACTTATACATATCTAATTATCTGAAGTTCACGTCAATACATGTTTATTCAAACTATGTGTCAGGCACTATGCTCAGCACTGTGCTAAAAGATCCCTATACTCAAGGAATTTAGTGGGGAAGCAAAATGTTAAAATACAAGATAAATACTTCCACATAGCACAAAGAGGTACCAAAAAGGAATAATGACTGCCTGAAGCAGCAAGAACTTTATCTAATTGTGTGGAGGAGTTAGGCTTGACTGAACTGAGACTGGAACAAAAAATAAAATACTTAAGTGATTAAGGGTGGAAAGCAGATTTAAGACAGAGAATTCACCATGTCCAAAGCACACAGAAAATGAAAGGGTATAGTGAGTTTAAGAATGGCATGTCTAGAGCCTACTCAAAAAAAAAATCTTTAAAAAAGGGGGCGATTCGCTGGTTCAGTCAGTAAAGCATGTGACTCTTTATTTCAGGGTTGTGAGTTCAAGCTCCATGTTGGGCGTGGAGCCTACTTAAAATTAAAAATAAATAAATAATAACAAATTCTTTAAGAATGGCATGTCTAAAGACTAAATTATGAGGGAAAGAATGGCTAGAGGTGAAACCAGAGAAGAGGAGAGGTTGGGTGCAAACTTGTATGAAATGCAGAAGTACTTAGAACTTATAATCTGGCCTAAAATCTGGCTGAAATGGAATAATCCACCCAGCCTTTAAAATAATGCTGATTCTGGAGCTCAGAAATTCTCTAAGTCATTATGATGTAACATCCAGTACACCAACTTGGTTCCCTAGGTCTTGGGCAATCACCCTAAAGGGCTGCAAGAAGGGTGAAACTGAGACAACATTTTAGACATCACATTGGTTTGATAGAGTAAAATGTTATTAAAAAGGTCAAAGTGAAGGTATGAAGACCGGGAGGAGGCTACCACAATTATTACTAAGTCTGCCCGAAAGAGGAGGTAACAAGGTTGATATGTAGTTAAAAGGCAAAAGAATACAGGAAATAAAAAATAACACTTAGGATTTTGGTTTGAGCTACTGAAAAACATTTACTGAGAATACAGGAGAAACAGGTTGAGAAGGGAAGATAAACTTATTTTGTATTTGTTGAAAATGCAGTGCCTAGAGATATCTGTCAAAAGGCTGTATCTGTGCATCTGAAGCACAAAGAGAACTCTGAGTTGAAAATATAGATGTGAGAGCCATTTGGAGTTAACTGAAGCCATGAACAAAAAAAACACTAACTAGAAAGAATGTGAAGAAGAGGGGAAAAGAGGAACAAAGATGGTCAATGGCAGGTCACCAAGCAGAGGGGTAGAAAGAGGAACTTCACCCTGAAGAGAATGAGGAGAAACATAGGAGAGGTGTGTTAACTGAAATTAAAAAAAAAGTTTTAGGGGAAAAAGATCAACAATAATGAATACAATAGACATGAGGAAAGATAAAGTCTTGAATGCTCCCACTGGATTGGCCATTTAAGAGATGACTGGTTATTTTAGTAGGAAACACCTTAGTGAAATGGTAGAAGCCAGACTACCTTGAATTAAGGACGAAACAGGGCAATGAATTCTTAGAATCCAAACAGCCAGAAAATTCAATAAACAATTTTTTTTTACTAAATAAACTGTAAGAAATTCTTACCATAAATGTTCCAAGTTCAATAATTAGTGAAAATCACAGTAAAAATTCAATCAAATCTATAATAATAACTGATGTTTTTCAAATCAAGGAATAGAAAATTTGGGCGCTTTTTAAATAGTGAAGGAATTATCTGAAAATCCATATTCAATATGGAGAGATATATAAATACATTACTAGTGACACTGTAACTTTGTTCAATCTTTTCAGAAAGTAATATGAAAATATATTTCAAACTATTAGAGTATTTCAACTATCCATCTTAGCCATTTTGAAATTATTTAGTCAACAAATACTATAACCTATTAGGCGTTGGTAATTAACATAATGTATAACAAATCCGTATCAAGATGTTCAAGAATTTGAACACAACTCAAATGTCTAGTAAGGGGGAACAGACCAACACCCACAGCAATATAACTATTAAAGTGTGAAGTATACACACACACACACACACACATAGGTATGAAGCTACACAAATATAAGTGAAAAAAAATATATGAGCTCATCTTTTTCCAAAAAATGCAAACTTCAAAAAATCAAAATAAATGAGGATTATAATACCTACTTCATGGTGTTGTTTAGAAGAGTAAGAATAACATACAGAGTGTCCAGCACAGTACCTGTACATAATATGCACTCTATAAATGTGAATTGCCTCTACCTATCTTCTCCCCCTTCAGAAGTTTAGTTAACATCTTTTTTCAAAAGATTTTTTTTAAGATTTTATTTATTTATTTAAGAGAGAGAGAGCACACAAGGAGGGGGAGTAGCAGAGGGAGAGGGAGAAGCAGGCTTCCCTCTGAGCAGGGAGACCGATGTGGGTCTCAATCCTAGGACCCTGGGACCATGACCTGAGCCGAAGGCAGATGCTTAACTGACTGAGCCACTCAGGTGTCCCTAGTTAGTTAACATCTTAAATCTACTTACATATAATTGTCAGGGGGGTATAGAAAGAGGGTGAACTTGAGATCATAATAAACTCTGAGAGGGAAGGGAAAAAGAACATGTATACTTTGACAAAGCTCCCTAAGTGACGGTTAGCAGGTATTACAGATTTAAAAAATGCCAGCTTACTGGGAAAACTAATTGGAAGGACTTTGGAGGTTTACTACAAACCTTTCCTTCTGACAGACAATATATTGGTGGTGAACAAACTGCATTTAAGTTAAAAGATTCAGTGGAACTAGTAAGAAGTTAGAGACAAGGTCATGTAAATACTTATTAAACTCAGTAAGAACAAACTTAGGGTAATTCACTTAAGAGAAAAAGCATTCCATGAGGAGAAGACAGAAAAAAATGTTTTTCAAACATGGCAAAAGATAAACTGACAAGAAAGAGGGTATGGATGGGGTGCTTGGCTAGCTCAGTTGGTGGAGCATGCGGCTCTTGCTCTCGGATTTAGTTCAAGCTCCAAGCTCGGTGTAGAAATTGTTTAAAACTAAAAATATTAAAAAAAAAAAAAAAAAGGTATGGATTAGGTAGAGGCTTTCAATTCAGGTAGCCTGGGTCTGAGCCCAAATTCCCTCACCTGTAAAACTTTAATAAAGATAAGACCACATATTTAAAACGAATAGCACAATGTTTGGAACAAACAAAAGCTTAATAAACATTAGCTGTTGTTATTGTTGTTCTAGGTTACAGATGGTCATACTACAAAGGTAAGTTATCAATCAGTACTGTAATTCAAGAAAAAGGTCTGCGGGGAAGATGGCAGAGTAGGAGGACCCTAAGCTTGCCATGTCCCACAGTTACAACTAGATAACACTCATATGAGTGTAAATAACCCAGGAAACGACTCGAAGACTGGCAGAACAAACTTCACAACTAAAGGTAGGGAAGAGGTCCCATCGAAGAAGGTAGGAAGGGCAAAGTCACAGCCTGGGAGCGAAACAGACCATGACTGCCCATAGTGGGGAGGGAGCCCGTGGCATGGAGAAAGGTGGAAAACACACTTTCACACCAGGGAGCCCTGAACAGGGAGGACGGATCTCTGTAATATTTGACTTTGAAAGTGAGAGGGGCTAAATTTCTTGAGTTCTTAAAATGAGCAGGACTTAAAGCCTGGAATTTAAAAAACTGGTGAGCTTGGCTCTGGTAGAGCCCTGACTGCAATAGGAAGCAGTGTCCCAGCCCTTAAACAGCAGTGTGGATACAGCATAGAACTAGCAATTTGAAAAACGCTGAGGGTAGGCCAGAGGGAGTGATTTGCCCATCTCCGAATGTGGCCCGGAGAAACAGGGATCATGCAGAGAGACCCTTCCAGGAATAAAGGACCTGGCAGGTGCCATTTCCCTCCCCCTGTCCCCCAGCATAAGCGCATAGCCACCACTCCTACCTAACTTCCTTGCACTAAACACTGCCCCATGGTTCCACCCTTCTTAGTCACACTCCCCTTGGGCCCAGTGCTGTAGCGCGCCCCCCCCCACCCTCCAGAAGACTGGCACAAACCCTGCCAACATCACATCTCCCAACTTGTGTGTTTTGTGGGACCTCTGGTCTCATTTGTGGAGCAGATCTCATTTCATAAGCACACTGTTGTGCACCTTGTTAAAACACTCCCCACCCCTGCTGGGGACCAAACACTGTCCACAATAGGCAAAGAGAGCCTCTATACACTGGAATGAAGGAAAAACAGGTCAAGACTCAACAGCAGAGCACACACATAGGAGACCCTCCCTGAAGTGCCAGGCCCTGAGGAACAGGCAACACTGCACTACAGGACCTCTTCATTAAGCTATTATCATTAAGAGCAAGAGAAGTAGCTGACTTTCCTAACAGAAACAGACACAGAAAATAAGACAAAATGAGGAGACACAGAAATATGTGCCAAATGCAAGAACAGGACCAAACCACAGCAAGAGGCCAAAGCAAAACAGATATATGTAATATGCCTGACAGGGAATATAAGGTAACGATCATAAAGACACTCACTGGACTTGAGAAGAGAATGGAGGACATCAGTGAGATCCTTCACACAGCATTAAAAAGGAACCAATCAGAGATGACATACACAATTAATGAAATTAAAAATACACTTGATGGAATAAATAGCAGGCCAGATGAAGCAGAGAATGAACTAATGACCTGAAAGAGCAATGGAAAGTAACCAAGCTAAGCAAAGGAGAGGAAAGAAAATTAAGCAAATTCAGAACAGGGTTAGGGAACCAGTGATTCCA